AAAAAAAAAAAAAAAAAACACACACACACACACAGGCAAAAAAAGTGCAGCTAACATTCACTGAGAACTTTCTGCAGTACCAGCCACTATGGTTCAGTCACTTGATCAGAACGATTTGTTTTAAAACACACACACACTCACTCTTAGAAATAGATACTGTTACTAGCCACAAGAAGCCGGTGGAAGAGTTGGCCTGAGAGTTTAACTCATGATTCAAACCTCAGCTGTCATGAGCTCCTGGGCACCACAATGGACTAACATCCAGTTCTAGTACGAACATCTCAATTATTAAGCCAAAGCCAAAGCCGGAGGGGTCAAAATCGACTGGCTGCGTTGAAAAATAGGGCACCAGCACAGCCTATTTGCAGGGCACTGAATCACATTAAGAGTCAGGGCGCCACACTGAACTGACAGGTATCAACCACCCTCAAAGTTCAAAGGCATCTCATCACCCCATCCTTAAGCTACCTGCTCAGAGCCACAAGTTCTCCCAAAGCCAGAATACCAAGTCAACAACTTGGGTTCCCACCTCGCGTCCAGCCAGCTGCCCGGGGCTGCCTCGCCCCCGGCCCGGCCCGGCCCGGCCCGGCCCGGCCCGCGCTGCTGCCCGCAGACGGTCGGGCCCCTAGCGGCCTCACGCCCCTGGACTGCGGCCTAGGCCGGCACCGCCCACCTGGGCCCCAGATCGCCCGCCCTCGACCCGAAGACCCGCACTGACCGTTGTATGACTTCCCCTCGTCCGCCATGGCACAGCAAAGAGCGGGGGCGGGCTCAGGCACGAGCCGCGTCGCCGCCAAACGTCTGAACGTCCAGAAGCTCAGAACCAAAACGCTCCTACGCCCGGCGCCACCGCATTTATGCGGCGAAGCACGTCGCGCGCGGCTGACGTTCCCAGGCTAGGGCAGAAGCGCGGGGAGGGAGCGGGGCCGCTGCGCGTGCGCACTTTCAGTGATCGCTCGTTGGGCGGGGCCCGGCCCTCCGCGCTCCGCCCAAGACCAGGGCTCACGGAGGCGGGCCTTGGGGCGCCCCGCATCTCGCTTTCCGTTCGCAGATTCCTCGAGTTGTTCGAGTTAGTGGTTGTAGAGTTCAGGCTGCTGCATCCCGGAATTGAACCGGGAAGGGACTGTAAGAAAGGGTCTCCAGGATTTAAGACTTAGCTTCGGAATGGGGGTGATTGCTCACAAAGCCTAAGCGGAATCGGCCAGTGTTTTAAATTTCAGCTCAGTTCTTTCCCAGCTGCATATCTAGGCCTGGCTTTCTCTGCCTAGAAAATGGATTAATAATCACATAACTGAAAACTACAGAGTGTCCCCAAAGTCGCGATACATAGGGGGAAATGGAAGATTGTAGCTAAGTATACTTTTATTTACAAAAGATTCACTGTAAAATTTTACAAAGAATGGCCAATACGTAGAGTATTCTGTAATGAGTACTTTTTTTTTTGCAGTGTTTGGCCCGGGCTGGGTTTGAACCCACCTCTCGCATATGGGGCTGGAGCTCTACTCCTTGAGCCACAGGCGCCGCCCCTGAATATATATATTGAGACAGAGTCTCTTTATGTCGCCCTTGATAAAGTACCATCACAGCTCACAGCAACCTCAAACTCTTGGGCTTACGCGGTTCTCTTGCCTTAGTTTCCCAAGTAGTTGGGACTATAGGTGCTCGCGACAACGCTCGGCTATTTTTTTGTTGTTGTCTTTGGCAGGGCCTGGCCGGGCTGGAACCCCGCCAGCCCTGGTGTGTGTGGCTGGCGCCCTAACTACTAAGTATAGGCGCCTAGCCTGTAATGAGGACTTCTAAAATAAAGTTACACTTAGCTGCAATCTCCCATTTTCCCCAACATGTGGCAACTTAGGATACCTAGTAGAATGTAAAGTCCACGGGCGCAGGAACCTTAATTCTTGGCTTTTTTTCCCACCAGTGACAGGCTCAGCCTCATGCCTTGGGAAATAAAAGAAACTCAACAGGCCAGGCAGGGTGGCTTCTGCCTGTAAATCCTAGCATTTGGGGAAGCCAAAGCTGGAGAATGCTTGAGGACAAGAGTTCAAGACCAGCCTGGGGGCTCGACGCCTATAGCTCAACCGGCTAAGGCGCCAGCCACGTACACCTAAGGTGGCGGGTTCGAATCCCCAGCCTGGACCCGCCAAACAACAAT